AAGCAGTGGCCCTGGGCTGAAGAGGAGGTGATGGAAACTAAAGCTTTTAAAGAGATAGTTTAAAGTACCTAGAGAGGAGGATAATAGGGAGTAGCTCAGATGACCTCTGAATTTTTGCCTTCGTTTAGAGGTGTCAGTCCCTGAGATAAGAAATATAAATGGAGGAGAACAGTTTTGACCCCATAGTCTGCCAAACTTGATTATCTGCCACTCAAACAAAAATAATTTCAATCTCAGCCCCTTTGCCTGTGGTTCCCTTCACTTGGCTCTCTTTCCCTACTATTTGTCCTGTAGAAAACTGTTCTTAAAGGCTCTTCTTGGAAGCCCTACTTAATCCTTGTGAATGGTTGCCATCTCTAGCACTTTCTTTGTACTTATAAGTCTAAGTAGTTATTATTCTGCTTTTTATATTGCAGCTAGTTGTGTATCTCTCGGAGCATACTCATCTTTATTTTCTAAATGTCTAGGATATTGTTTTGAACATAACATGTGCTAAGTAAGTGTTTATTGGCCTAAGATGATGTAAAAGAAGAATGTAGTTGGTATAGGGCGAGTGTTAAATGTCAATTGAGTGGTATACATTTGCTGAGTTCTCAATACTTCAATCTTCCACAGTACTTTTGTTAACACAGTGAAGGTTGTTTTTGGAAGGAAATAAATAACAGTTGAAATTATTAATAACTTGAAGAAGGGACCCTCTCCTCCAAAGAGTAGATGATACTTTTACTTTAAAAGATTTCTGGTTTTACTGTAGACTACTGTCTATAGACAATTTTATTTTTCTACCTTTTACTTTCTTTCAGAACTCTGAAGTTTTTAGCTAATTAATGTGACTTAAATGCCTTATATTTTATTTCACACATTAAAATTAACTCAAGGAAGCAAAAGTAGCTCTGAAAATTCCTGTGAACTATTGGAAGAAGGTTAAAATTCAGTGTTTTAGCTAATAAATAAGAATAAGATGGCTGTTAACATGGCCTTTTTATACTACAATGATGGTAGAATTTAAAAAAGTGGATTGAGAAAGAACATGGTTATAGAATATGAATGTATTAACCCATGTTGGCATTTAGAGAAGACTTTCTACAAAGCTAGCATTTGAAATATTAAATTGTTGTACTAATGCAACAAATCAAAGTAAGTTAAGCCTCATTCCCATATTCTGCAATGCTCCTATTATGCACCAGACTTGCTCTATATAATGACAGTTGATGGCTTGGTTCACTAATCATCTCAGTTTAATTTTCAGTATCTTTGGAACATCTAGAAAAGCACACCTAAATTAGAAAAGATTAGAAAACCCTTTTTTTTTGTATTATAGGTTTTAGTATACAAATATTACATGACATTAAAAATATATCTGGTTTTATGGAATTTAAATGTGCAGAATTGAGGGTTGCTGACGGGAGGTGAGTGGGGGTAATAGGGTAACTGGGTGAAGGGCATTAAGGAGAGCACATTATGTAATGAGTACTGATGAATTATTGAAAACTACATCTGAAACTAATGATGTACTGTATGTTGGCAAATTGAATTTAAATAAAAAAATAAATCTACAGAATTAATAAAACAGAGCATTTCTTCTTTTCAGATTATTTGAAGTATGCAATGTAGGACCATTTCAGTAGGGGAGCTCATTCCTGTATGTATGTGTGAAGATGTGTCCATAGCCTAGCTCAGACTGACAGACTAAAGACAAGTGAGTGAACCAGGCTCTTTAAAAGCCAAAAACTTGGGCAGCCCAGGTGGCTCAGTGGTTTAGTGCCACCTTCAGCCCAGGGCCTGGTCCTGGAGACCTGGGATTGAGTCCTGCGTTGGGCTCCCTGCATGGAGCCTGCTTCTCCCTCTGCCTGTGTTTCTGCCTCTCTCTCTCTCTCTGTGTCTCTCATGAATAAATAAATAAATAAAATCTTAAAAAAAAAAAGAGCCAAAAATTTTCCAAATTAGAGGAACCCTCTAAGGTCTGAGAAAGAGAAGAAGGGGAGTGTTGTACATTAGTGACAAAAAGAAAGGTTAGCAAGACATAGGTTTGGACTTACATTAGAATCATCTTTACTGTAATTGCCAACTAGAGTTTTTGTGTTGCTTATGAAAATATAACTGATTTTATACTAAAAAAGACATGAGGAAATGGGAATTATTTTACAGAATAACCTGAAATCTAATTTTTACTGATTGCTGATATTCCTCCAAGAGATGAGAGACTTTTTCAGATAACAAATGCACCCCTAACCTTTGGTGAAAGTGATCTGTTATCCTGAGTCACAGTCACTGAAGGGAATTGGTTAGATCCTGTAGGTAAGTTGGCGGGGGGGGGGGGGGGGGGGGAGGGGGGGAGGGAAGAAAGGTTTAGTTTTCTTTTTTCCCCTCACAGGATTACCATGCCACCTTTATTTTCTGAAATAAAGTGAATCATTGAAAGTGTCACTTGACTTTAATCAATATTAAATAACGATATTGGGGTATTTCAGAAGACATAGGTAGAAATGATTTATAAATGTGAATAACTTGCAGGTTGCAGTTGCATTTATTTCGATGGAAGCACAATATTCTTTTTTTTTGGAAGCACAATATTCTTATACAATGTTCTTTTCACATTCCTGCTTTGGCATTTATTATAAGGAACAAAACATTTCTGGAATGCTCATTTTAATTTCAAAGCTCAGGCTATTCTATGGAAAACATTTGGCGCATGGAAGATCTGAACAATAATAGAGGAATGTTCAGTGGGAAGCATCATGAATTGTGGCACTTAAAATACATTTTGAAGGAACATTTAGACAATGATACTTATTCTTCATTTTAAACAAAGATTTTAAACTAGGTACTATAATTTGTCTTAATCTGAACAAATATCTTTTAACTCTTAATATATAAATTAGATTGACAATAGTGAGATATTTGCCTTTTGGAGTATGTGAAAACCCATGAATAAGTCAGGCATATTATCATCTTTATTTAATACATAATAAAGACACTTGGCCCTATTTCACTGCTTGTAAAACATATAGGATGTGCTCTGTTAACTGACTTCATCACATTTAGCACAGAGGACCAAGAGCAACACGAGGGTAGCCCCAGGACAAGGATCTCATAACATTTTTTGATTCATGTGGGGAATGGACTAGAAAATGAACATTAAATGTCAACCAATATTTGTGTCATGTTGTGCATTTTACAAGACATTTTACGTATTTAACATTCACACAGTCTTGTAGGATAATATGATTGTTCTTTTCCAAAAAAGGGAACAAAGACTTGCTACAAGGCATTGCACTCTGGGTTGTGAACATGAGAATAAAGCAAATTAGAGTAAAGCAAAGGGTCTAGTGGATGGAGGAGGAGAATTCAAATAATTCAAAAATTATTTTCAACTATGTATTTCCCCTATAGCTTGTAAGTTCTTTCTCAGTTCCTAATTAAAAAACTGGATCCATATACACAAGTAAACAAATATGTTGTGTTCTATAAGCAATAAACAAGCCAAACCTTTAGGGCCTACAGAGCAGGAAAGGTTATGTATAGTCCATTGTCAAACATGTGGTGCATGATTATTATAAAATGCCTTGGCTATTTGATGATATGTAGGATTCTAGCTTTCCATAGGAGTTTCATGGCTTCCATTTTAAATACTGGATACAGGGTTTTTTTCTTCCTCTGCAATAGGGATCTTCCAGATTTGCTTATAAAAATGTTAATCAAATTTATGATTGGTATCCAAGGTGTAATTAAGAAGTGGATGTTTTTTACAGTGTAATTTTGTATGAGGTTTAGTTTCCAAATATAGATGCTTAATTTCTTCTTCTTCTTCTTTTTTTTAAGATTTTATTTATTTGAGAGAGAGAGAGCATGAGTGGGAGAAGGATTAGAGGGAGAGGGACAAGCAGACTCCTTGCTAATTGTGGAGCCTGATGCAGAGCGTGATCTCATGCCCCTGAGATCATGACCTGAGTGAAATCAAGAGTTGGACGCTCAAATGACTGAGCCACGCAGGCACCCCAGGTGCTTAATTTCTATCTCTAAATATTGCTCTTACTATTAGTTTATTATTATTTTAAATGAATTTACAAAACTAATAATGCTCACATTCAGGCAATTCAAAAATATAGGGATTAAAAAGGCCCTCTTTTCAATTACCCCATTCATTAATCCATTTACATAATAAATATTGGACATCTACTTTGTGTGTTGTTATGGGTGTTGGAGAAAAAAACCACACTTTCTGCTTTCATGAAGTTTACATTTTAGTATTAGAAGCATGAAATAAACATATAAACAAAAAATAGCAGGTTTGGTAAGTGTTTTGAGGAAATGTAAAGTGGAATGAAGAGACAGAGAAAGTGGGGATGGGTTGTCAAGAAAATCTTCTTGATGCGAAACTCAGAACAAGACCTGTTTGAGAGACCTCCTGAATTAGGGGAGAGTGGAGGAGACAGATAAGAGAGGTTACAAAAGGCCAATATGTAGGTCATAGTAATGATTTGGGTTTTGTCCCTCTGAGATAGGTAATAAGTGTTTCATGTTTCAGAATGGTACCTTACCCCCTCAACATTGATAATCTCTATACTCACCCTAAATAGACTAATACTTACTGACTTAATTAGGATTATTTTGCCTCCCTCTTAATACGGACTATAGGCTACAAAGTGATATAAATATTATATACAAATATTTATACATACATATAAAATATATGTAATATATTTACCTGTTTTAGTAGTAAACTTGATAAGTTTCCATTCCTGTGGCTCTTCTTTCCTCATGTCTTCCCTTTCTCCTTTCCCACCTTCTTCCTTCTTTCCTTTTAATCTTTATTGGAAGTTCCATAGTGGCTGATAATATTGCTGTTGGTGCCTTGACTTGATTTAGGAGGGCTTACCAGTAGTACCAGGAATAAATCATGTTACTATGAAATACTTCCTTCTGTTTTGGGCTGTGATGTTCCAGGACTGTGTTCTCACAATTTGTCTGATGAATGGCTTATATTTTTCCAATTTTAGGTTACTACACTTGTCAATTGTCCCCAGAATCCTTCCAACAGGAAAAAAGGACGTTCAAAAAGAGCCAGAGTCCTTCTAGCTTCTGTGGAGGAAGCAACTTGGAATTTATTAGACAAGGGAGAGAAGATTGCCCAGGAAGCTACAGTTTTAAAAGAAGAACTTGCTTCTGCACTTGAGGAAGTGCGCAAAGAAAGTGAGTACACTAATTCTGGTTGGGAGCAAACTGTATATCCTTAGGGTGTTAGTTATGGAATTAGATTTGTGAGTGTTTTGTTTTTGTTGACTCGAGTTTATTAGTCTTTTGTAGAGCTCTGAGGAGCTCGCTGTGGGAGGCGGAATGGCTCATTAGCTCCACGGCTCAAGAGTACTACTCCCAGTTCTTTCCCTGTAGGCCACCTTCTCTCCATCATGTGCCGCAGTCTACCCATAATAAACAAAGAGAAGTGTATCCTGTTTTGTCATAGAATATAATGAGAAATGACTAATGAAGCTGAAGGTGTATTTTCTCACACATAAATAAATTATAAAATTCCTAGTTAATAGTTGGAAATAACAAATTATGAACTTGACCACTTAGGAGTACATTTTTTTTTATATTCTAGAGATTTAGAATTCCTAAACTTAAAAAGAAATGCTTTGCAAAACCTATGCATAAATCAAGTTGTTGCTATGTTGATATTATAAAGTGAACATGTACTTTTTACCTTTTGATGTATTTACTTAGGTAAAAACAACGGTTTTCTAATGAATGTAAGTCTCATTGCAGTCTGTTTTTAAAAGAACTGCCCTATTTTTGTATGAGCTTGCTGCAAGGAACTATTTTGAGAGGATAAGAAAACTTAAATATGTCCTGTTCAGCTTTGTGAAGAGACTTGGTGGGTTTGGATATTTCCCTTCCCAACATAACTTTATGAAAATTAGGAATTGTTTGTTAATTAAATAATGAAAATGAATATATTTCTTTTAATAAACTTTAGGTCAAATGTAGGGGAGTTATTTTTTATTTGTTATATATAAACTTTATATGTGATTTATATTTTACTGAGACTCTTCAGAAAATATTAAGAAAACCATAATACCTGAGATAATTTCACATGAATTCACCACTCCTCCCTGCTACCTTAGACCCATTCTTTGTCCTATCCTCTCTGTCCTGGTACTATCATCCACATAGTCATCACGTCAGTGTAGACCCTTCATTTATCATTTCACCCTCTCTTCCAGTTAGTCTCTAAGTTTAACAAATTCTGTCTCCTTTTGTCTCTCAGAAATTTCCCTCTTCTCCATTACTGATGTTGCCTCCTGAATTCAGGATTACTGCATTAGCCTTAACTTATACCAAAGCCAAATATATCTTTTAAAAATGAAAATATGCTCATTTTACTTCTATGCTTAAAATCCTTTTAAAATAGCTTTTGAAGGATTAGAGGGACTGTCTTTCTGGATCAAGTTCAGACTTTTAAACCTAGGTCCCTCAGCATTTCATAATTGGTCTTCTATCATTCTCTTCTTTCTCATTTTCTGATTCTGTCCCCCTTTCAAACTTTCCTACAAACAAGAACTTGAAGTATCTTAAATGGCCTTATGCCTCTGCACCTCTGTTACCAGCTATTCCCTTTCAATCAGCCAATCGTTCATTGCAACAGAACTCAACCCAGATCTTTTCCAGGAATTGCATACTGACCTCATAATGCTATGCTGATTTAGATGTCCCTCTTCTGTGTTCCTGCAGACTCTGAGCATCTCTTTCATAGGATTTACACCACATTTGATTTACTTGTTCAGTAAATCTAGACTCTAAATTCCTTGAAGGTGGCAAATACCAGGTGTTATCTGATGAGCAATACCTGATACATAACATATCATAACAACCACCTGATAATTTTTTTTAAATAAATAAAAAATGGAGCATAATTTTGTCACTTTATATTATAAAATTATGTAATGATTTGATCTTTGCATTTATTTTTAAAAAAGATTTTATCTATTTATTTGAGAGAGAGAGAGAAAGAGAGGGGGGATGAGAATACAAGCAGGGGAAGGGGCAGAAGGAGAAGCAGACTTAGGGGCTCTATTCCAGGACCTGGGGATGGTGACCCAAGCTGAAGGCAAATGCTTAACCACTGAGCCACCCAGGTGCCCTTATCTTTGCATTCATGACATATTATCTTTTATGTTTTTTTTTTTCTGAGTCTTTTGGTAAGGAATATGAATGCTATTCTGGTATTGTTTTGGTCACATAATGTAGTGTATTTGAAAACATAGTTTTTATAAACTACCAATAATATGTAAGACATTGGTCATTCTTAGCAGAGAACAGTAATAGCATAAGTTGTCGTGAAACGATATATCTCTAAGAAAAGTAAGTTAACAGTTTTTGGCTCAATAAAAGAAAATTATTTTAAAGAGAAGGTCTCAAAGAGAAATATGTTTGGATTCTAGGATTATGCAGTACATCCTTCACTGTGTTCTATTATAATGTGTGAAATCGTATTATGTGATATATATGGCATATGCTGTATACACAACAAATACATTTGGTTAAAAATCACCAAGTGCTTTATACTCTGATTCTTTTTGACAAACTGCCAAATTGAACTACCGCCACTTGAGTGTGGGAGGAAAGCAGTGAAATGGCAAATGGTTCTGGAATTTGGGGAATGGCCAATGCTTATCCTATGGATAGCAGAGATAGTAACAGTGAGAGCACTGTTTCGAAAAACTTGGAAGGAATTTTAGCTCTGTGGTAGGGTTGAAGTATCAGGAGAATGAATTCTGATTCAAGTAACTCTTTGATACTAGAAACATATTTTAGTTTCCTGCCTTTTTTTTTTAAGGGCTTTGCCCAGTGGCATAATATGAAGGACTAACGAAGAGCAAAAAATAAGTTCAAAGTATTTGGGAAAGTGAAAAAATATTGGAGGTAGAAGGATATTTTTATTTATATATTTATTGACTTATTTTCAAGGAGAGTTTGACTCTAATTTAGAAAATTTCTTCTACTAAAGACTGTAATTTATGTAGCATTATAACAGGATTCTGTTTTATTCTGTTTACTGAATTTTTTGGCTGTAGTTAGAGACTTGAAATGATAAATAATGTGAGCATTTAATTACCTAAAGAATTTGCCTATGGAAGATAAGGGCATGGATAGTATTAGGGAGGATGGTGAAAGCAAAGGTCATAAGTAGGCAGACTTGTAGAGATGCAGCAAAGGTGGCCCACATAGTGATTATTTATCTTTCCCTCATGATCCTACAGGTTACCCCTATATTTACATCTATAGAATGGCAAAGTATTAAACCCAGTATTTTATTTAAGTGGTTTTAGAATATTCACATAACAGTTAGCTAGGAATTAGCTAAGAATTGTTTATACTGTTTGGACTACATGTTTTGTCTATAGCATATATGCTACCTTCCTATAGCCTCTTGTGTACCCCTGCAATGTATAGACATTGCTTCTAAGTCAAACAGTTGGTTATATTTAAAGCTTTTTAATGGTTTACTGAGAATAAGAAATATAGGAAAATGCATACATTATTGTGAACAACTCAATACGGTTTCACATTGTAAACACACAATGTAACCTCCACCCAGATCAAGTAATAGAAACTTATCAGAATCCTTAAAGCACCCCTTGTGCCTCCAACCAGTTACTACTTCCTCACCTCAAAGGTAACAATTATCCTAGGTTCTTACATAGGTTCATTTTTTGATTCTTTTGACTTTACGTGAGTAGGATCATATAGTTTGCTATCTCTTGAGTTTGATTTCTTTTGCTCAATGTTACACTTGTGAGATCTCAACATATAGTAGTTCATTAATTTCATTGATGAATAGATCATAATTTATTTATTCATGTTAGATTGATGGATAGTTGAGTTTTTTTTTTCAGTTTTTGGCCTTAATAAGTAGTGCTGCTGTGTACTTATTTGTGCATTACTTTTGGTGTGTGAATGTACATTATGCTGGGTTACACTTAGGATGAAATTGCTAGTTCATAAGGTATACACTCAGCTTTAATAGATTTTACCAAACAGTTTTCCAAAGTGGATTTTCCAACTGACATTCTCATCACTAATGTATAAGAATTCCAGTTGCTCTCTACATTCTAGCTAACTTGGTGTTAGTAAGTGTTAGTGTTTTTGATTCAAGTATATGTAGTGGTTTTATATTGTAGTTTTAATTTTTATTTCTCTAGTGACTTTTTGTGTGTTCTAGATGTGAGTCTTTTGTTAGTTGCGGTTATTAAAAATGTCTTCACTCTTTCATTATATTAAGCATTTTTGATATTTAGAAGCAATTTTGAAAAATTCCAGTTAATTATCTTATTCCTTTATGGAAAGAGATTTTTCTGTTCTGTTAAAAAAAACTTTGCCTATTGTAAATCAAGAAAATCTCATATGATTTCATATGAAATGAATATCTTCTCATATGAAATCATCTACAGTCTTTATTGTTTTGCCATTACAATCTACCTAGAAATAAATTTTTATGAATGGTGTGAGTTAGGGTTCATGATTCATTTTCTTTTTCATATGGGAATTCATTTGATTCAGTATTATGTGGATGCAATAGAAGTATCAGTATAGCTATTGAAAAAAATTATTCTTTCTCAATTGAATTTCTTTTGCACCTTTTTTGAAAATCACTTGACCATTATCTGTTGTCTACTTAGGAACTCTGTTCTGTTTCATTGATTTGTATGTCTGCCCTTATACCAGTGACATGTTGTCTTGATTATTGTACCTCAGAGTAAATGTTAAAATAAAAATTATCTTGATTTTGTAATTCTAGATCCCTTGCACTTCCATAGAAAGTTTTGAATCAGCTTCTTAATTTTTACAAGAAAGCCTGCTGGGATTTTTATTGGGATTAAATTGGATGTATATATCAATTTGTGCTGAACTGACATTTTAATAGTAAAGAGTCTTCTGATTCTAAAACATGTATTCATTTTTGTGATATTGTAAAATACTTTAAAGATTTAAATTTTATATCTATCTATTTGTATTTATTTATTTATTAAAGATTTATTTACTTTAGAGAGAGAAAGAGAGGGAGCATGAGTAGAGGGAGGGGCAGAGGAGGAGAGAGAATTTCAAGTGGACTGTGCTGAGCAGAGAGCTGGACGTGGGGCTCAATTTCATGACCATGAGATCATAACCAGAGGGAAACCAAGAGAAGGGTG